ATAGATTGTTTGACAAAGTTCGACTTCACGTAATTTCGGCTATTATTTTTATCTGCTGGAACTTTTAATTGCAAGCTTTTGACAGGGGAGAAATCTAAGATCCATTTGAGAACCACTTCGGGTTGATAACTGGTCTGTTATCACAAAAATTGGGATCTTTTTTATTATTTCCCCGCTTTGCACAAGATAGAGGTTCGTACCAGGTACAAAATTCGCATATGCTTAATCGTTGAATTATTTCATCATAGGGATCCCAATTTTGTTTTTGATTACTTGTAGCATTTTCTGATTTTCAAAAAGTTTTTGTAGTGCTCAAAGCGCCTCACAAAAACTTTAAGAATGGTGGGCGAAAAATGATTTCTTGAAATTTTACTTCAATTTCTTGAAATTTTTCTGTCCTGAAAATTTCAAGCTCCTAAAAAACACAACTGCACTATTGGCACAGGCTGTTTTAACTTTCAATTTTGATGCCCGAGCAAACCTCTATATAGAGCTACAGCATGTTTTTATTATTCACTAGTTGGAAGTTTAAATTGACAAAGTTATGCATAATCGTACTTGTTGAAAAAATAAAGCAACAAATCCGAAGCTAAGTTGTGAAAAAGCATACCAAATCTGATCTGATAAGTGGGCTGACATGGTAGGAAATGAGCACTTACTGAACCATAAGCAGATATGAACGTAGCTATGAACCTTCAGTTTAACAGAGAGCTAATTTTCAGGTCTGCAAGAATTATGACTGCAAACGCAGCTCTTTTTTTCACTTATGATGATAAAAGGCTCTTCTAAAAGTTATTATCGTTCGGACTTAATTAAAGAAATAATTCTCAGTCAGAGAAATAATTCACAGACAGAGCATTGAATTAACCTGAAAAATTATAAAAAGCAAAACTTAATGATAGCGCATAACACTTTGTGACTTTTGAAGAAGAGCAAACGTGTAACTCATATGAAGAAGGCGACCAAAAAACCTAATAAAAATCTGTTCGAGTCTTTTTATAGAAACTTCCAGATCTGACCGGCAAATACTCAATACAAATAACAAATACAAATACAAATAATATTGCTCCAATTTTGTTATAAAGATTTGCACTTGTCCAAAAAGACCCTGATTTTTTTTTACATTAAACATGTTTCGTCTCAGTTATTTTTGCCATTTATTTTGTTCATATGAGAAAAAACTTCATCTGCATGAGTTTTTTATAAAGTTATGGGGATTTTGATCACGCGAATTTTACGTTATTTAATTTTTTTTTAGTCATGCGCCGCATTTATTATTTATTCAAAATTAATGGTTATTTGATCTGTTCTTATATATTCTATTTGCAGAATCGCATAGGATGGTACAGAGTAAATGCATTGGGTAAATTGGAGCAGGGTAGAATGTCATGGAACCGAAAATTACCTCTTAAATTAATTTGAGTCAAATTTCGAGTTTTTCAATTAAGATGTTGTAGTGCAGCGAAGAAATCCGACACAGAATTACCTCCAATTGGAATCATGGCAAGCTCATTAGTCTAATTCACGCCTTTTTAGGCAAGAAATTGGTCGTTTTGTTTTTAACGACAATTGAGTGTGTCAAAAGTTCAAAAGAAAAAGAAACGTTTTTAATTTCTTAAGCTTCTGTTTTAAATAAACAAAAGATATGAACTTCCCAGATAGAAGTTTCCGGCGGCGGCAGAATTCAAAACATTATTAGACTCATTTTTACTTAATTTTAGTCTGATTTCTGAAAAAATATCCCATCGCCGCAGAAGTAAAAAGATTATAATTGAAAAACCAGATAAGTCATCATTTCATCTTGAAATTTTGTGTACGGAAAGAATCAGCAGAAAATAAGCAGATAATCAGAGTATTTCACGAGGGAAAACATAACTTACTACTTAATTTAGAAAGTGAAAAGATAACGACGAATCATGTTTTTTTTGTATCAAAATAAGCAAAACTTTTATCGACAAACAAGACACGTAAGGCTCCTTCTACATCCTGTTTGTTCCAAATAACAAAAAAAAATTATTTAAAATTTTATAATATTAGGCGCTTTAAACGGAAATTTTTAGAAATACGATCTGAAAAATATTCTGAGCTCAATATTATAATCTGATCCGGGCGGATCTATGATTTTCTCGAAGTGAGATTATAGAAAAAAAAATAAAAAACTTGTCACTCTTTTAACAGTCCACCAAAGCACTACAGAGACCCCGTTTTGGCTAAAATTTCTGCGCCACAGGCAAAACGTTGAAAAAAAACAGGCCGAAAAAGGCGTTTTTAGGCAGTTTTTTAAAAATTTTGTCCAAAAAACTGCATTTTTTCGGCGAGCGCTCCCTCCTCAAAAGTAGTATATATTAGCGCCAAGGCGCTTTCAGAAAAGTTTTAGGGCTCGTCACCAAAAATGGATATCTCAAAATAGTACAAGAGTTGGCAGGCGGTGGAATACCTGAAGGAAAGGAGCGTACGCCACAACCCCCCCCCCGTCTAAATCGTTTTTAAATTTTTTTTTTTAAAAACTGCCTAAACACGCCTTTTTTGGCCTGTTTTTTTTCAAAGTTTTGCCTGTGGCCCAGAAATTTTAGCCAAAACGGGGTCTCTGTGGTGCTTTGGTGGACTCTTAAAAAGTGACAAGTTTTTGATTTTTTGTCTATAATCGCCCCTGCAAGCAATTTTTAAACCCCCATAAACATAGGAAAAAGCGACCACAGGAAAATAAATAAATTTGAGATCAAGAAAACATTTTTTTGTCAAAAATTCGTCGAAAATGCTTAGTTAAGAAGTCGAAAATTGACTGAATAGAAGACCACCTTAAGCATAATTATTCCGAATTTTCTTCAAAAGTCGGAACAATAAACTGCTCCACACAAAATTTCGATACAGTCAAAGTTATAGAAAACTGTTCACCTGTTCACGCTGACATGTCTTGATGCAGTTTATAACACAAAAATTAATTTTAATTTCCTGCACCGCCAGCAAGTTTTTTTTTAAAAAAAAGGCAGTTTTTTGGTTATTTTTTTAAAAAATTTTGACCAAAAAAAATGAGTTGGTCGAAAATTAGTCCAAAGTGAATAAACTACGCTGATTTATCCAACTAATGTGTTAGTAGGTGCAAAAAATTGCTGTCCCTCAAATTGTTTTCATAATCAGTAGAACATAACTGAATTTCTGTAAGTGTTTTGAAAGTTTCAAAAAAAAATTCTTAGAGTGAAACCTAAATTACATACATGATAACAAGACTGCTCATACATTGTTTTGACTGCTCGTACATCCACCCCTGCAAGCAATTTTCAAACCCCCATAAAGATACGAAAAAGCGACCACAGATTAAAATAATAAATTTGAGATCAAGAAAACAATATTTTTCAAAAGTCCGTCGAAAATGCTTTATTAAAAAGTCGAAAGTTGACTGATTAGAAAACCACCATATGCATAAATATTCCGCACTTTCTTCAAAAGAACAGTAAACTACTTCACACAAATTTTCGATACAGTCAAATTAAAAAATTGTTCACCTGTTCACGCTGACACGTTTTGATGCAGTTTATAACATAAAAAGTAATTTTAAGTATACTTTCATATAATGAAAAAAATTTCACAAAAAACCAAAGGAAGGGGCTTGAAAAGAGCCCAATTTTTGTGTGAAATATTGTCTGCCATTAATCCTGCTTGACTTTAACAAAATCATGCTATTTCGTAAGCACATCCATTTTCATAGATGAATTGTTTTGATCAACTTTTAAAATTAACCGCGGGAAGCCTTAATTTTATTGAAAAGACCTTACTGAAAGTTTCTGAGATGGCAAACGTTTGAGCCAGAATCAGAAAGTGGCTTTGTTATTCGCAGATTTCGCAATGGACAAACTTTGGTAAAAGTTTTCCAAAAAGTGCCTAAAAACGCATTTTTTGGCCTGCTTTTCAAAATTCTGCCTGCGGCGCAGAAACTTTGAACAAAACAGGGTCTTTTAGTGCTTTCGGAGAGCTGGGAAAATCAATTTAGTCAACCTAAAAAGGGTCGATAATTTTTTTCGAAATTTTTTGAAACCCCCCCCCCCCCCCCCCCCTCGCAAAAATCCCAGATACGCCCCTGTTTCAATATTTTTTGAGTTGAAAAGAGCGTACAATTGGTCGGCATTTTGTTCGATTCATTATTCAGCCACCTTAAACCCGGGTTATAATCAAGATAGAGATGACAAAAAAAAACAGAATTCGTGAAATCAAACCCCCCCCCCCCCCTAAAGTTACCAAGTGAACGGTCACCCCTTTAAATTTCAGAACAAATTAAAGCAGTAAAGCCATTAAAAATAATGCGGAATGTTTTCACCCGAAAGTCAATTATCTGCTCTCTAAACTGAATCAGAGAGGATATTGCTCACTTGGTCCGTGACAAGAAATTTTGTTAACCTTTTTAAAATAAAATTACAAAAAACACTTGAAATAACTATGTTTGACTCACTTCTAGCGAAAAAAATTTTCCAAGATTTTTTTGTGTTTTTTTTACCGCTCATTTGTTGTTACTAAAAAGTATATTCGCTGAGTGAAAAGACGGATCTAGGATTTATCAAGAGGGGGATTCAGAATTTAAGTTTTATTCGAACTCTCTTTTTAGTTCAATTGAGCTTTCGAGGAAACCCCATTTTCCTCTTTTTGTTGTGCCGCAGGCAAATAACATGTTTTTGACCAAAACATTTCCGAGCCAACTTTTTTCGAACACAATTCCTCCTAAAAATTAGTATATGTTGGCACCAAAGGGTCTTGTAAAGCCTTTTAGGGTTGATCGGTAGAAAACGGATGTCAAAAATTAGTGCCAAAAGGACTTAGAGAGAGGAGAGAAGCCGTTTTTTGTTTATTTTTGGTCGGTCAAACGTAGATGCCGCATAAAACCAGGGGAGGGGTCAATTTCATGCGAGGGGATGTCTTCCCTGTAAGCTCCCAAATATAACTCGAGTTGATACAAAATCATTATATGGTATCATTTGGATGTGAAATTAGATTTTTTGAAAATAACATACGCTCTTCAGGAGTGTTGTCCAGTTTCTCTTTCTCGTCCAGGTATTTGATCCAGAGGACTGTGGTGGCCGCGATGGTGCCGAAGATGACCAGGAAGTACACGAAGTACACAAAGAGAGCAGCCACGAAACGCATCAGCACCAGAATCAGCAGAGACAGTCCTGAAATTTTATCACATTTTAACACATGTTATCAGTTCCCGGAAAAGGATTCCAGGCTCCCGCACAGATTAATCAGCTGGAGTTTCTGGTCAATAAAATCAGGAACGAATCTAAGGTCCTTGTTGGTGGAGTAAATATAACTTTACCTAATAAATGATTAGCCGAAGAAAAATGAATCAAGCTGAATTGCTGCAATTTGATTTGTTAATTGCAAACAAAAGTTTTGACTGGTATAGTATTCTGCTATTTGGTTTCCTTGTGAGACAAGTCTGAAGGGGCTAACTCATAGAACAGTTTTGTCTGTTCGTAAGTGTCTAGTCGTCGTGCTATCTATTTTCGATCGGATAAGAGTTCGGACTAAATTTCGTGTAACGCCTTAGTTCCAGTCCCAGATAAACCGTTCAAAAACCGCTCAAACCGCTCATTTTGAAGCAAGATTTTGAGCGTAATTGTCTAAGAAAAACTTCTGAGCAAGACCGAAAAAACTTCTGATCAAAATTTTTAATCGATCTAAATTACGGATATGTAATTTAACCGAACCTGATGGAAAATGAAATGACAAAAATGGCCGTTTTATTGCCGAATGTTAAGCAAACAAAAACTTCCCCAGATAAAGTTTGTTTAACAACAATTAAATCAGCAATTGTTGCTTTTTTTCTGTCGTTTCAAAACTGTTTTTGCGGAAAATTATCACAATGCAAAAACGGTATTCAGTATTCAAAAATTTTAAAAACCATGAGCGTTTGTTACAGCGGAACATATTTTTAGTTTCGGCACTGTTGTATTTTGGCACAGTTGAATTTCTTCTAATGGTCTAATAAAAAACTTTGCTTAAACGTGATCTACAGTCTCTCATAATTATATTATAAATTGTACATACAATTGCAATGGATGAGGCTTTACAACAGTGCTGACACAAATTGCAGAAAACCTCACAACAGTGCTGACCCGGGTTGAACACAAATCTCAGAAAACCTCACAACTTCTTACAAATTTAGGCTCTAAACTTTTTACAAGATTTGCAACACTTTTTTCTTGTCTTGCAATTTTTTCTTATAAAAAAGTTGCAAGGTAGAGACTTTTTTTTGAAGAAAGTTGTAAGATAAGAATTTTTCCGAAAATATTAATGAAAACTTTTTGCATGTTCATTTTTAGGATTTTGTTCTGACAAGCTTAAAAGTTCTCCGCTGTGCAAGAGTACAAAAACGGAAACTCGTAGGCCAAACGACTCGTTACTGAAAACCCAACTAAATTTATAGAGTTAGATTTTCGCTGATACCTAGAAACTTTGTCGATATATACCTGAGCCGCACATACATCTATAAGACATGCATTTCGTAAGAATTGACTTTTGATGATTTCCAAGATAATTTTGAACCGTTAATTAGGTCTAACTAGTAGATTAATAAGAACAATTTCACAATGAGTT